AAAACAAATAGCTGTAAGGAAAAAGGCAAGCTAAATCTTCCTTAAAAACCTCTTTGTAAAACTGTCAATTTTGCAAAGGAAGGGGAATGAAAAATAACATCAGGGTGGACACCCAGCTCCTCCTTTTTACATTATCAGAGAGGTGTTGGGAGTTGTGGTGGCTGAGAAAAGCTTGGCAATATGAAGCAAATCCAAGGACAACAAAATCATAGGCCTTACCAAAAATAAATGTCCCACGATGTTTAATAAAGCTTTCCAAGTCCCTGAAACCCTCTGCAACATTTTAATACTTGAGATTATTCATAAAACGGGGAACATCGATTGCCAGCGTGGAAGCAGACCAGGCTACAGAGAGGTGAATCCTGTCTCTTTGGGCAGTATAATGACTCCTCCTCTCGCGGGAAGGAGGAAGGAGTGGTGGCTGTAGGCGGGGGATGCCACAGTCCCGGCCTCTGCCCGCAGCTCACCTAGGCTGCTATGTTTGGGGTTCAAATTCGCTGCTACTGAGAAACTCAGCCAAGTGGGTAGCATTCTGAGCGGATCTGTTTTCAGACCCAGACAGTTGTTAATGAAACAGTTGCTGTTTTGTTGACAGAACATTAATTACTTGATCTTAGGACTTGGTAATTGCACAGGCCCCCTCTGTATACATCACTAATTACATTAGCAATTATATGGCATTTTAAAGACAAAGAAATGACTACAGCAATTGCAGTGTCATAGGGACCCTGCTGCTAAATTTCAATCAAGTTCCTGCAATCTCAGTGAAGTGTTGAGATAAGTCCTGCTCCAGACGAATCCTGCAGAAGTATCAGTCTGTTCTGGTGTGTTGCTGCAGCCGCTGAAACCGGCCAGTCTGGAGAAAAGTAGGGATGCTTGAATTTCTCCAGGTTAGTCACATTCTCAAATTGATCTGAGGCATTCTCAAAAGCCTACTTGGTATTGGAAATACTTCTTTATACTATCAGCTCTATTAATGCTAGAAATAATCAAGAGTCATATCTCAGAAAATCATGACTTAGGTTAACAATAATCGCAGTTGTAAACATACTCATCGATGCCTTTCTGAAAAGCTGCATTGTATTTTTAAGGATCTTCCTTTGCAAATCAATAGGTCAGAAAGTTACTTAAGAATCTAAAATTCCTGTGCCCCCAGAAGTTGGAGATTTGCAAAAGATCTTCAAAATCAGAGTAGCTGTAGGCATGAGACCTGGCAATACAGCATATTTGTAAAGTCACTGTTATTCTGAAATATGACAAAAGGTGTAGAGGCTCCTTTATTCTGCTAAAGAGCTGTAAACCCCCTTAGTTTAAATATGAAGCACCTTTACAGCATGCAAATAATGTCCAGACGGACATTCTTCAGTTACTGCTGCCATTTCCTTTTCCTGTCCCACCGTCCTGTGCTTTCTGTCCTCAAATACGAGTGTGTTAACTTGGAAAATGATTGTAACAGCTTTGGGTCCGGAGACGTTTTCATTACCTGTTTCTGTGTTGCCCTCCATGGTGGGTACAGATTTTGAGGCCCTCACAGACCATTGCAGTGTAAGTAAAGTGATCTGTGGATGGTCGGGTGCTGTGCTGGGATGAACATGAACGTAAAAGAAATCCAGTGCTTGTAATTTTATTTTTTTTTTCCCTCCACTTATTTTGTAGCCTGTGCTTCTGGTTTGCAGGCCAGAGGGGAAAGTAATTATATGGCCAGACCTATAGTTGGTATAAATTGGTACACCCCTACTGACTCAGATTTGCGGTATCTGAGGATCCGGCCTGCGTCTTGTCAAGATTTGAGCTTGTAAACAGGGAGAGATGGAATTATTACCACTAGACAATCACTCTCGCTTGTGCTTGCTATTTATTCTGCCATTCGCTCTCCTCTCCCTTTTCACTGTTCCTCAAGTGCCATTGCTACATGCAGTTTCTGACCAGGTCAACCCAGAATCCCATTCATTAAAACCTTGATCCCTCATTAGGTAAGTTTGCAGCTGCCAGTGATTTTAGTGGTGGGAAGCTTGCAGCCAACACCTTCCCGCTGCGCAGGCAGCCCCTTGTATTCGAAACGGCGTAGTGACAGCCCCTGTGTCCAGGCTGGATTGAGCTCGAGAATACAGACAAAAATGAACTGGGATGAGTTTCCCCACACCCATGCTATAAACCTCTCAGAAGACCAACAAGAAAACAGCGTGGCCTGTCCGTGTCCCCCCCAGGAAAAGGACCAGGCAATGGACGGGGCGTGTGTTTCATCATTCCTGTGTCTTTTTCTGTTATTGTTGTAACTTTGCACAAAGGAAGCAGGACAGCAGCTCTGGCTTCCCCTGCCCCCTCCTTGTAGTGCTTCCCCCAACCTTCTTATATTGCCTCCCTGGGACAGTATTTTGGTGCCTTCCACTTTGGGAGGGGGAAGTGTTGGGTTTCCTGCTTCCCCTTCTCTCTACTGATGTTTGCTCAACGCTCGCTCTGCCGTGGCTGCTCTGTCTGCACCCTTGGCTACGGCCACCAGCTGTCTGTTTAATCCAGTCCTGCAAGCGGAGTTAATGAGACATTCCTACTTAAATAACCTGGTGCGATTAAAGCTTCAGATCTTTGCACCTCAACAGCTGTGTGTTGTCACCGAGATAAATATTTTAACTGGTCTGGCAATTCCCTAGCTGCCCTGTGTAAGTGGTTGAATGAGTGGCTATTGTTTCACCATTTATTACAGTGAAATTCAAGTTCTTACAAAACAGCCATCTAGAAAAGACTTGTAAAGGAAAAAGGAGGGTGGGAGAGAATCTGCTTTTCTAGGTGTTTGATTAACCAGGGCATGGTACAGATGGCAGTGTGGCTGTGCCCGCCTGTAACCGCCGGCTCCCGCGGCGAAGACTAACTGGGCTTTCGCTGACCGCTTGTAGGGGCGGCTCCATTTGCCAGTGCTGTCAGGAGAAACGTTCCTTCGGTGTTGTTGCTACCGTGCAGGGTAACAACTGTCCAAATACCGTGCCTTTGGAAAGCACTGCTTCCCACGTTTGACGTGACAAATGTCATTAAAATCTTTGCAGAGTAATCTTCCAGAGGAAGGCTGAACAGTTTGATCTTCATGTAAAACTTGGTGAATTAAGGAGTTAAGAAGGTTGCAGGTGTCTAGCCTTTATTGGTCTTAACCTGGACCAAGAAAAATCTTTTCACACTGGCTTTTAACAATTGAGCAAGACTGATAATGAAATAGGTTCAGCATGACAAGGTAACTGATCCTAGAGATTTTATTTTTTTTTTTTTTAAATAGAGACTCCCTTTCGGTACAGATAAGTCTTTGATGATGCCATCTAAGCTACTAGGGGCTGGAGGGAGTTATTTGTACGCTGTTTTTGAATTAAGTAGTTAACATTTTTTCTGGGGTACTCTTGCTGGGGTACTTCATGCATCTCCTTCCCTCACTCAGCATTTTATTTGGAATTTGCTCAGACCAGAGGACAGCTCTGAAGGTGAGTGCGATAACGTATCACAGGCACGTGCTGTATTTGTACATCATCAAGTCCTTAAAATAGGTAACAAAGCAGTAGTGGAACGCAGTAGATCTCCAGGCTTTCAACTGCATAACAAACTTCCTCACTTGAATACAACAGTTGGTCACTGTTAAAGACCAAGAATCTCTTTCAAAGTAACTGTTAGTTTTATCACTAAAATCATCACTTAGTACACTGCTGGGATTTCTTAGCGGGGAAAAAAGCCGAATCAGATTTTAAGTAGAATGGGCCTCTGTTCAAGATGAGAGGAAGGCTATTTCACTAGGACAGTGGACAACTTAGATTTCACTGTTGGGAAGATGGTCATCTGCTAACTGCATGTTAATGAGTAATTAAAGCAGATTACCAAAAAAAGCTGTTTTCTTCTCAGCTTTTGGTTGATAGTGCCTAATGTTTCCAGATGCTTTCTCTGACATCTGGCAGTAGTTTAACCACTGACTTCTATTCTGTCTTCTGTTAGTCAAAGAATATCAATAGCAGTAGCTTTCCTCATCAAATAAAATTTTCATTTGTTTGAACCTTTCCAGTGATTTTCACACAAGAAAATGGGATGTTCCTGGTTTAGATAGTCAGTTACCATTTTCTAAGACACTCTTCAGCACTCTGTTTTTTTGTTTTTTTTTTTTTTTCTGAGAAAATAAAGCTAATTACCTTTTTGATCAATGGCCTTACAAAGGGAACAGAAATTGCCATCTTACACATGCTTGGTCTGGGCTTTGGCAGCCAGTGTGTCTTACTCTTTGTGAAGAACAGGTAGAATAGAGCGGAGCCAGTGGAGCCAAACCTCTGCCCCTTGGACTCATTTACTGTTCAGAGCACTGGAGCTGCAGAGAAGCATATTTATATGTCCCAGTGACTGAGACATGCACTCTGCTGCAAGAGGAAGTAGATCTACTTCAGACTTTTTACCTTAGGAGCCAATGTGACTCACCTCTGCAGCACGAGCGTCGTCGTTTGCTCAGAGTTGTGCCGGGACCAAGGAACAATCCCAAATTCAGTTCAACAGTCAGTCCAAGAAAAGGCCAGTATCAGTCAGCCTGAGTTTTGCTTTTTGATTTTGTGCTCTGACCACTTGCCTGCTACTAACAAAAAGGGGAGGTTTCCAAAAAGGAAACTACAGCTGCCCTACCTTTTGACTCTTTTCCTCCCCAAAAAGGACTAAACTCTCACAAAGGTGTTGTCCACTTTGTTAATCAGCTGTAATAAAGGAATGGTCAGAAGAGACCATTACTGTTTTATTCTAGATAATCTAGATCTGGCTCTACCAAATTGTGGGTGGATGTCTGACAGACAAGCATGAATTTGAAAAAATTGTCACATAGCATATAATTACCCTTTTCTTAAAGCGTTATTGCTGTACCCGTACCTTAAGTGACTCATAAAGATGGTAAAGCACATTGAATACTCTGAAATTAAGATAATTCCCCCCCTTGTTTACAGTACAAAAATTTTATTTTTTGTTAGGATAATTTAAAGTTTAAAACTGAAGTAGACATATTCATTTTACAAACAAGATATTCTTCCATAAGTAGGACCATTAAAAACAGTAAACAAAAAAAGCTATCTTTACAAAAGCTCTGTGCATAGCAACTTCATACTGTATATAACTGACAAAGCAAAAAAAAACAAAAAAACGACCAGCCAACCCCAAACAAACCCCAAAACTATACAGTAGGGAGAAATGAGGCCTTAATTTACAGAAGGGAGAAAACGGTCTTTAAAAACCATGCATATTGGAAGTGTGCAAAGAAACAGGGAGAGTAAGATGCTATACCAAGATAAATAATGAAATAAAACGTACTCTTTCAACGTTATGATAAAATTTGTAGTTACCTATCGCAACACTTTCATCTTTCTAGTGGCAAAAAGGAAAGCTGTCAGGGAATATTAAACAGCAATAACTAAAAGAGGACAGATTTGCTTATTACATTGAAAAAATCCTCACACATATATTTTTACATTTTCCTTTTTGTTGGGTGCTTTGCCACTGCCAAAGTCCTCCTTTCATGGTCAAGGATTTCTGATTGCATTTATTTACATTTTTCTTTGTCAAGCTACCAGTAAGTTCTACACTCATCTTGAGTACGATGATTTCCACGCATGAGCAAAATCCATGTTCTAAATCATTCCTGTGTTTAATTTTTGTCATTTGTTTGGCTCAGATCAAACCAGGAAAAGTAATTTTCCATGTTTACGTCAACACAGGCAGCTACACTTGTTTCTCTTCCTACAAGTACTTGAAGTAGTTTTTTGGGAGGTTTTCTTTTTCATTTGGACTCATGGCTCTCCAGCTTGAGCAACTGGATGGAGCTAATAAAAGTAACTGAAGTGTGAAAGGAAAGTTGTGCGTTTCAGAACCTTCTCTTTTTTCAGCTAGCCTTTTTTTTTTTTTTTTTTTTCCCCTGAATCTTCCCAAGATCTCAGTGATCATTTTTTTATGTGCCTAGGCTGACTAAGCAATAAAAAAAAAAAAAAAAAAAAAAGAAGGGTGGACAATTAACAGAATAGCTTTTTCCATGCAATGTCTCAATTTGTTTAAATGGAAACCTTCCTCACTGGGGTCTGTGCAATGAATAGCTTAATTGTTAAAAAATGTGAGAAGACTTAAGGTAGCAGGCTGCTGCTCTTCAGTATGTGGTCTAGAAATTCCCCTAACTGGAATATTTGCTGAGCATAGAATTTTGGGTCTAAGCAGAGATGACAGAATTTTAAAAGTAGCCTGTACAGAGAAGGGCGGAGGAAAAAATAATCCACCATCTTTATGCTTTGGAGCTGTTTGGGGTTTTTAGTAGGTCAAAATGGGGGAAGGTAGATGATATATCAGAAATGAGCCTGGTCCATCAAGATATGTTTTGGGAATCTAGGACTCAATGTAGTATTCACTGAAATTTATGGAAGTTTTAATCCCAACTCTAATACTTCTCAATCTGTGTGTTTTGTTTTGTTTTTTTTTCTTCCCTGTACGCATGCAGAATTCCAAACACGAATTTGGACCTCCCACTCAGAGCCTTGCTGGGATATCGGTACCTATGAATGTATGAAATGCTTTTTGTTTGTTTGTTTGTTTTTTGGTCTGAATAACAACGGTCAGGTTAGACAGCGTGCCCTGTTGTGTTACCAAAGCTGAGGTACAGCGGTGCTCAGTTACAGCTCCAGACTTCTCAATACCTGTGATTCTTTCCTATTTCAGAGATCACTTGGCTCCAGGGCTGGTTGCCTTGCTGACCTCCAGTGACTGCTGCTTCCCTGATGGCATGAAGAGCACACAGAGAATCTGCGGTGTCAGTGAACTTGAAACCATAATTAAGAGTGAGTTATTTTATTTAATCTTTTCTGGAATGTAGACACTTTCAGTACCCTGACTTTAAGACTCTAACTATATTCACGCTTCTTAAAAACACATTATTCCCACCAAATCTCTCTTTAAAGTTGCTTCTAATTGCCATTTTTGCTGATATGATAAATTAGGCCTTCAGTTTTAGAAGACAGTAAACCCCCTCCACCTTTTAAAAACTTATTTCAATAGCACTGAAAAGGCACAGAATGAAGCCCCTACCAAAACCTGACGGCACAGCCCGGGGTAGCGCAGAGCTGCTTCCCAACACGCGTAATCGCCTTTAGGAAGGACGGGAGCAGCCGGGTTTCATTGTCTTTCCAGTCCCCAGGCTTCTCTGCTGTGCTGCGTTCTGGTTATGGAACACGTCCTGGAAAGCTTCTGTGTGTGTCAAATACATCTCCCCCCCTGAGCTGAACCCTACGCGGCCCTGCGCCGCGCGCTGGGCTGGTTACGGGCACCGCGTCAGACAGTGCAAAGGGCAGGCCTGAGCCAAACGCCTGCCCGCTGGGCGAGGGTCCCTCGGGTCATACAGCACCCACCCCCCCAGGCCCCTCAGTCACTAATCACTGGGGCTGGATTGGAACCCCGCGCGGAGGCAGAGGCTTTCTAGCCTGGTACTAATCCAGGCGAGCTCCACAGTCGCTCGGGCGAGCCCTGAGCTGCCTCAGCCATGCACGTGCTCACCTCCCTGAGGCCAGTACTGAATTGAACATCTTCTGCCGTATATCAGGATCACCAAGAACACTATTTTACCTACCCATCGATAAAACTACCGGGCAAATGGACAAGTACAGTTTCAGGGGTCATATATTAAGGGTTTATTTATTAACATAAAGATGTGACCATAGGAACAACTATTCATGCAGCTGTGAATTGTGTGTATTTTAGTGGGTTGTAAGTAGTGTAGCTGATTTTTTTTTTTTTTTTTTTTTTTCCCTAAAAATGGCTTTCCAACAACCAAATTCTTTTGTCTCTGGTTTAGCCAGATAGCTAGTGATTTTTTTTTTTATCAAATTTGTTTTCACCTTCCAATTTCAGGAGAGGAGGTGCAAAGGAGAACTAAACTTTTTTACGCTAAAATGCAGAAAAATTCAAAGCAATTGATTACTTCTATGAACTTCAATATATAAATGGAAAATACTTACCATTTTTAACGACTCAGGATAAAAGTGCATAAATTATTCAAATACATATTTACCCTTCATAAATGCACCCTTAATATGAAGTATAACTGAACTTAAGGTGTTCTAACTACATGGAAAAACAATATGTTAGAGAACCCTTCCCCTCCTAACGCATACATTGAATCTATAAAATAAACTCAGTACCTCCTGAAAAACCCCATTCGTTCAAATCCCTAAGTGCCACTCATTTGCCATCAGGGCCTTTGAAGCTTACCAGTTAATCTTAGTACCTGAATATTTTAATTGAAACAAAAAATGGAAGGGGGAAAGATGAGGAGGATGAAAATTCATACATGGATTAGTGACCTGTATACCACAACATATGTAAAAGTTTCTGATGATTTTGTTAATCAGAAAGAATCCTATACATCCTTGCACATGAATTCAGTAAGAGGGAAAAAGTGAGGAGCAATTGCAGCAGTAATAATATATCTCAAACTTATCACTACATTTTTGCATCATTTTTCTTCATTGTACAACTGGAGGAAAAAATCCAAAAAAGGGTTTAATTTCTACCTCTACATACAATAAGTTACAAGTTTATTTATTTAAATAATTGTAAAACATCTTACATTTTTTAAAGAGGTTAAACTATAAGCAAATACACACATACACCAAAGTTCCATCATTCATGTCAGTTTGTCCTAGAAATTCTTTCATGCTGGTACCCTGTTTTGTTGAATTTTTTTCTGCATAAACTAAATCGATATCTGAAAGGCTCCATAGAAAATAGAAACTTCAACTTTTTTCCCCTACAAAGTAAAACAAATTGTATCCAAAATATCAAGCTTGAATCATTTTGCCAATTTCTTTCTCCTTTTAATATTTTACAAATCTTAGGCAGGTTTCATGTCTTTCAAGAAAGACTTTGCATTTCTGATTCCACTCTGCCAACTGTTGTTCATCCTGGCTCTTGGCTGATTCTTCATTCACAATGTTTTAGGAGTTGATGGGGTTGTGTCAGAAATATGAAACAGGTAAAAGATGCAGACTTCTATCTTTTCCAATCCATAAAAAATGTTCCTTTTTTTTTTTTTTTTCCTGGGCCTGGCTTTCCCCCAAAAAAGAGCTTGTAGTGCTATTTTTTTCTTTTTAGTGGTCCATCACAATAAGTAGTTTTGTGCTGTAAAAGAAAAATGAAAAAAAGAGGAAAAAAGGGAAGAGGGAGAGGAGCAAAGCTGCCTCTTCCTTACATCGGGGGAACGACAAGACCAGTCATGGCTGAAAAAGAAAATTGACAAAGATGAAATTCTGGTAAATTTTTATGGAACATAATATATTTGAGCCCTTCACCCTTCCGCGTGCAGTCATGTATTGCAACAATGGCCTTATTTGCAGGTTAAACTAGACCTTCAGTTTATTTTTAATATTTTTTTGCCTTAGTGAGAACTAAGACGGTGAGACTGACAGTGACCACAGATGAGGAACAGTGTGCTATTTCGTAGTAAATTCACCAAAAGCCAAGGCTCATGGTGGTTCTTAAATGGATAAAGGAGATAGAGGACTAATTTAAGTCTCAGTATGTGACTTTTCAGAACCGCCCAACCATTTTGTTTGCTTATCTCCCGAGAAATGCCCTTGGAGATGGCCATTGCTCAGAACTCTCCCCAGAAATTCAGCCTTCTCATGCTTTCTCGAGTTGAACGCTCAAAATCATTCTTGAGATCCAGAACCGAGCAGGGTGGTCCGCTTCCCACCCCGCCGGCTCGCTGGCCTGCGGGAAGGCTTACGCTGGGAGTGAGGGCGATGTGAGAGCAACTGGGAATCGGCCCGTGCCCTGCGGGGGGCCCTGGCCGGAGCTACCAGTCCCCGTTCACTGCCGCTGACCGGGGCGAGGCTTTGCTGATTCAGTTTTGGTGGAAATAATGGACCAGCCTCTCTTTCTCGCTTGGTTTACCCCATATGTCTGCATCACTGTAGTCTTACCTGGCACATCCCCAGAACACTGGGCTTATGTAAATTATTTATTAGTCACTCTCACTGCCTTTAATTGCAGCTATATTCTTCGTAACTGACAACAGCAACATTTGAAGCTGCCTGGAACTGGTGCTGTTCCCAAAGGTTTTGAGGGGTAAGTTAAGTTTATACGTATTTATATAACAAATGAGTGAGTCATATTTTCAAAGGGGCCTCGGTGCAGTGCAAGGTCCTAATCCTGCAAAGATTTATGTTCACTGAAATTTGTGGGATTATTCATGTGTTTAAAGCCCTGTCTTCTGAGAATTAATTTCACCCTTATGTTCATCGTGTTCAAAAAAAAAATGCTTAGGGCAAGATCCTCAGTTAACATGACTCTTTTATTGGAGCTGTGTTGATTTTAAACAACTGTGGATATGGTCTGTGATTTAATACAATAGGAAAATAAATATTTTCATATTTTGTAACTGACTAGGGCTAGAAGTGCCTGCCAATTTTGGCAGATAGCTCAAAGAGAAAGTGAAACTCAACAGCCTTAAGTCAAATATCAACTTTTTTTTAATTGCTTAGGCCTTTGCTATTATTTTTCAAACAGATTTTCAAACAGGCAATTTACATAACCCTAAATAAAGTAGGTAAATATTTGTATGCCTGTTTTCAGGGGAGTGGGGGGTGGTGTGCATTAGAAGAGAGATTTTCTGGTAACACAAAGGAAGGCTGCTCCTTTCCTTCTCCTCACCCCCCAACCCCAAAAAAATGATCCTAACGGTAGTGTCCCAGCCTGACACTGGAGAGCCTTCTCCCTGGGTATTAACCGCACGCCTGCCTTTCTGCCCTCTAGAAAAGAAAACTCGATGTAAGTCTTGGATTGATGCCCTCCTCCAGCTTCTGCTGGGCTGGTAGAAGAGGTAAGCGCGTGCCCTCAGCCGCTCGCTGCCGTCCCGCAGGTATCCCAGTGGAGCAGCCCGCGCGAGCACTTCCTTATCCGCTTCAGGCAAAATCATCCAGGTTAGCTCAAATAATTTAAATTGTTTGTCTAAGGTAACCTGGCTGGGTCTTTTGCCCACAGCAAATAAAGGAGTGCTTACATGGACGGGGCCTGGCCGGTCCCTGTCTTTTCTCCTGGCGTGGCCAGAGCCAGGCTCTGTCTTGGCCTGTTTCGATGGGCTGTGCAGGGGCAGCAGACCCCGTGGTGGTTTAACTTGAGACACGCAGGGTCTCCTACCAGTGTAGTTTAAACTCCGTTCCCAAGGGGGATAGGCCATATCGGCATAAATGCTTTTTCTGACACTCTCGTTATCAACATTATTTTCATTTTTTGAATCAAGGAAAACTTCTTCCAGCAGATCAAAGCAGAGACCACCCTGAGTTTCTGCCATGTCTTTTCAAAAATATTTTAAGAATATTCGTTGATGCAGCATTTTGGAAACTTCCTTATATTAAAGGCAAAGCACATTTTTACCAGGTAATTAAAGATACTACGCTATCCAGCAGTCCTGGACGCAAACCAGTGCAGGCAACAGCAAAACTGCCATCTGCAATCAGGAAGAGTAGGTTATTACCCCTGGGCTTCTGATGATCCCTCTTTTGCCTCCCTTCCTCTCCTCCTGAGCAAGTAGCAAGTACCTGCTTTCCTCTCCTTCCTTTTGCCCCGCAGCCCAAGCCTGTGTTGTTATTCCAGGTTGCGAGTGTGTGCTCCAGAGCAGAGATGCTCCTCGGAAGTTGATAGGACAAATTCAGGTAAAACTATAATGTAACACAGAAAGGCCAAGCAAAGCCCAATTGTTTCACTGGAATTTCATCCTAATGTTGCAACTTCACCTCCTTCTGCAACAAAGGAGGTTGAAGAATATTGGCTGGAAATCTCATCTGTTTTTCCACAGCTCATCCGAACGGCTTTGCTCTGTGGTTCTCTCTCTTTTTACATACCCTCATCTGTCCATTTCCACCCCACCTCCACTCCCCTTTGGGGCTGCACTGTCAAAAGCCTATTCCCAGCCTGTATCGCTTTTTATTGAATGTTTGTGAGGTTTGGATTAAGGTCTTACACTGCTAGCAAAGCTGTAATTATTTTTGCCTGTATTACTATATATTGAATCGATGTAACTTTTCAATAAAGGTGGTTCAATGCAGGACACTCCCTGATGAGTTGGGAATATAGAAACCACAGTCATTATCCCAGAGGGTCTCTTTTTTTTCTTGGAGGGAAATGGAAAAAGAATTAGAGATGAGCCTTATTGTATTAACCTTGACAGCTTGCAATTATCAACTGAAACACTTGATTAAAATTGTCACAAGGTTGGAGAATTTTTTTATAAATAAATAATCAAACATGGATAGTACCCAGATGCTATGGTGATAGGCACCTTTAATGGGTGTAATTAATAATGATCATAAGCCCAGTGTATACAAGTGGCCTCTGAAAACGCTGTCTTGCTTTGTAGTGGAAAAGAACTCTCTACAATTCAAACAGCCACAGGTAAGAACTGGAAAGGGGTTTAGTGCTGCATGAATGTATTCACATACGCACGTGTGCACACACATTGCTCTAGTTCTTCAGATCTCACAGGCACTTTTTTGGCATCTAAATTATGACCTGTTTCCAAAACTATGCTTTCTAGAGAAGGCTAGTGTTGAGCATTTTCAATCACTGTCATGTAAAACATCTTGCTCGCTCATTTGGCTTTCCTCTTTTCCCCCTAAGTTTCCAGCACACTCCAATCTTACGGTTCTACAGCTCTTTGAAGAGGCAGAGTACTCCAGTGGTGCTACTCTGAGAATCTTAGCTGAATATTCCTACCCTGCAATGCCAGAAACATCTCCGTGCATGAGCATGTATGTGCAGGCAGGTTTGCACGCTGGCAGCAGAGCTAGCTTCTGGGTAATTTGGTCTAATAAAAGGTGCAACTTCTACCTGCAGGCTTCACCTTATTGATATCCCTGACTCCCAGCATGGCTACCACTAGCAAACAGGCAGTTTTACTTTCAACATTAAGACCACAGAGATGTTTGTAAAACAACACACCCATTTACTATCTATCATTTATTATTATGTAACTAACCAACTGAAAATGATGAAAAAAGAAGGGATTTTCAGAGGAAAATACAACTGGCTTTGATTTCGCAGAAAACATCAGTGGCTTGGATGAAGGGCACCATCATCTTTTGTACTGGACTGTAAGTGAACTAAGTTACAGCTTCCGTGAAGGTTTCAACTAAAACAATAAAAACTAGCCACAAGCTTCAAGTTTTTCCTTCATAGGAAATTCACGCTTTAATTTTTTTGGCAGAAATCCTTCTGTATTTGGATGGAAGATTTTCATTCATCCATTTGTGATTGTCTAACCACAGACAGGTATGATACTTATAAATAAGCAGTGGTTTTGTCTCTTTTAGATGACAAGCAGTTTAAACCATATTTTATGTAACATGTTTTCAAAAAATCTAGCCAAAACCTTTGATAGCTAAGAGACCAAGAAGTTAACTTGGCCCCATCTATTGAGTTGCATTGATGTAGTTACTATCTCACCATGGTGCTAGCTAAGCTGTACGTGCAGGAAAGGCTGCTGAACAATTATTTTGGGTTAGTTCTAGTTAATTAGGATCACCCTTAACATCAAAATATATGATTGAAAAATCATATATGCCTTAGTTTAATTACTAAAGAGCACAGGAACGTATAGCCACTTTGCAGTTATGTACCTTTCCAATTATACTAGAAAGTGGCTAAGTTTTTACCTACAAAGAACAAATCAGTATTGAATCTTACCCAATATCCTCTTTTTTTGTGTGTGACACTTAAGTCTTGAATATTTTCTTCCGTTAAAAAAAGCAGATTTCTGTTTTCTCCCATTAAAAATGGAGCTCTTGTCTAGCCCAAATAAGTCTGTGACATATGATGAGCTACTAAAATTAACATCGCATCAAATGAAAGATAAGTAATTAATAGTAACAGGAGATATTTTTGTCTGCTTAAGTGTTAGCAAGAAGTTTGAAATACATCCTAAGGTTTTCTTTATTTTGAAGCAGTCTGTGCCGCTTACATCCCTGCCAATAAACTGGGGAGAAAAATATACTTGATCCTTCCAATATATCATATGTAATCAGATGACAGATACATATTTTTCATATTTACCGGCATCACGTATGTATCAGCTGCAGCCTTTGGCATACCTAAATCACCATGTAGGCCCTGGAATCATTCTGATTCAGGCAGAAGCATATTGCTGAACTTCCCTAGCGTGGAAATGGCCCAGTTGTTTTTACCTGGTTAGAACCTCTGTTCTGAGTTATTTTAAAATGCCGTGTTTTAAGCGTTGACTGGAGCTAGGCTTGGGCATAGGTCAGCACTGGGCTGGTAACGACCAGGAGCCGGTGCTGTGTAAATGCAAGCCAGCCCTTTCATCTGAACTTCACCCTTCACAAACTTTTCAGAGCAACTCTTTTTCTCATGACCTGTTTGCACAGCCTTTGAATGCAAGGGGAACGGTATCCCCCATGCTGTTGACACCCCTAACTTTGTCAAGACAAGATACTAATAATTAGAGTCTTCAACTCAAATACCTGTATTTCTTCAGGGAGTAGTGCAGATGTCCCCTTTGCTAAACTGAGGCTGTTCCTAAGGGTATCAGACTTCAATACCTTTTGGATTGGCTAGGATCCTGATGGTTAATGGAACATCTGACCTTCTGGGGCTTGCCTGCTATTCCTTGTAACTGAGCTTGCATTTTTATGTTGAGATGTGCTGAGCTGGCCAAAGGTAATCTGGGCAGTCAGCGGTCCATGCTGTTCCAGCAGTTTCCAATTTGCTTGCTTTTCCCCATCAGCTGCCTTCCATCTGAGATGAGATGATTAGGCATTTGTGTACTTATCATGCCGTGTTGCATCACGTCACATTATATCTTCCCAGTGCCTTTTTTAAACTGCCTTGACATACGACATGAACGGAGCACACAATTGTTCTGATCAGGATCACCTGCTCTCAATTTGGAGAGCATATAGAAGCGAGTGGTGTCCAGTATGGATTGCTGCTTGTTCTCTACCTATCATGTCCTGTTACACTGTAAGAATGTATAGCAGATGGCAGGTGGAAGAGGTAAGCAAGAACACATGACACAGGGGGTTATCTGAGGGTATTCCACATGTTTTGGCTGTGTTGTGCAGCCCAAAACTGAAAGCCAGTAGATAGGCAAGTTTCATGCTTAGCTAATACTTTTGAGTTACAATATATTTTCTACCAGCTGTCCTACTGTCTCCAGCAGCTTTTATGCAGCACCAAGACTTTCCTCCCAAAATACATTTTTTGGAAAAAAATTTCCAGTGGCACTGTAAACTGTCTGGAATAACAGGAATGCTAATCTGAGGAGGAAACTTGGACAGCACCTTCTGTTTTAATCCAGGTTTAAATGCTGCTGTGGTTAACATATGTGGAAGCTATATTCTAGATTTTCATTGCTGCGTGTAAGTAGAGTGGCATGCCCTGAGGTGCTGGTAGTATTTCTAATATTCTCATTGCAACAGTATGCGGTGAGCAGGATGGAGACTGTATCGCCAGGAAACTTTTGCCTTTGAACAAAAGATGTAGTCAAAGTACAGTGCAAACATTACATTATAGCTCAAAAAAGTCCCTTGGGGAGATGTTTTCCCCATATTATGGGTGGGGAAATTGAGAAGTAATGTCAAAACACTTGCCTGGTGTGCTTTGGGAAGGAGCCTGTGTATACTTACTGCTTGCTCTGTGCTTCTATCTCCATCAATATATACTGATGCCTAAGATTGATAAATAAGTAAATAAATAACTTATGTTACCAGCACATCTATTTTTAGTTTATGGCACAGGACGATGGCATAGATGAGGAGATTAACAATCTCCCATTGCTACAGCACAGTAAGTCCATTCAAGAAGCCTCTTTGGGACCCTCTTGTTGACTCGCTGGCCACATCTGTCTGTCAGCACTGTGGGAACGTTAATTTGGATATCAGGCTGTGTGTGTCTGGATCCTTTCCAAAGCATGTGCTCCCCAGCTTGCATCAATTTAAATATTTCAGCTGGAAAGAAGAATTTGCATCTATGGCTGAAATAGTTAAATAGTTACAAAGACCTTGGCATAACAAACCTTGGGCAGGCATGTTCGAGGCTCGGGAGCAACTACTACCTTGGCTGGGAGTCCCATCTGTTGTTGCTTGTTGTTGCAGTCTGACTGACAAGTCCCATTGTACTAGGTACTGGATCTGCTGAAAACTTATTTAAATACAGTTGTAGCGTATTAGTGTAGTTATGGATCAGGGTGTTGATGTACAAGGAGATATCCCACAAAGAAAGGGATATGGTTAACCACTTGTATCAGCTTATCCATGCCCAAGTCTCTGCATCTCTAGATGCATAAGATGTTTCAGTAAGTAATCATAACCTTAGATGATAGATTAATCCTGAACTCCTCAGGAGTGGACTTTTGGCAGTAAAAACGCATGGATGCAAGGGCTGGGTTTTTAGCTTTGAAATTTTGTGTTATACTTTAATATTAAAGTTCTATTTTTAGACTCTCTTAATGGTTACTAATTTATAGATTGGATAAAATATGTTGTAAATGCTAAATGGTACGAATGGCACCAAATGGTCACTAGGACTTCACCTGTTTGCAAATGGGTTAAAAAAGAGGTAAGCTCTTGCTAAGCAGTCTTGCGCAGACATGGCACGTTAAGGAAAAATATTAATTTTTTCTTTAAGTCAGTGTTTTTTAATCTGTCCTTTTTCTGTCTCCCAGAAACAATCAGTGATTTTCTCACTGAACTGATCTGTGGCTAGCACCACTTTAGATAACTTTAGGCAGTTAGACAAGTGTAACTTTAAAGCGGACTTAAATCTGTTCTGAACACACGAATTTGTCTTTAGATTATAGAACTATTCAACTGGCTTAAGCTAAAGAAGCAAACTATTTTTAAGTTAAGAGGCCTTCCTAGTTAAATGTTTAAGTAAATTAGTTTAAAATTAAGTTACCTTGGAACAGTTCCCTAAAATGGCTAACCCTTCTAATTTTTTTAAAAAATTAAGTGAAATCCATACATCTCTTCATTAGGTGAGATGAAGAACACCACCCCGCCAAAAAAAAAGTTAACTGCAGACCAGGTAGGGATGATGATTCTTTAGACAACATGATCATACAAAACATTAACAAAGATAAACTGGTTTCTAAACAGTTTAGATAAATAGCTACAATTGTTAGGCCAACAAAACTTTCTATACTTATAGTTTAAAAAATTGCTTCAAATCCTCATTTTCATCCCCTCTAAACAGAGTGGAAAAGAAATTATAGTCCCTGTCAACATGATACCTGTGCATTTACATGGGTAGATCAGTGTCTTTCATCAAGGGGGAGAAGATGATCTGGGAGAACTGTGGGGTTTCATGTAATTGGGGCAGGGGAGGAAGCTGTTTCAGATATAGAGCAGAATTCTCTAAGTTGGCTTTAAAAAATATAATTGTTTTTGTTCAACACACTTAGAATTTCCTTATTATATAAAATAATCACAGTTTATCTAAGTCCCCGTGGCCTAGCTAAGGATTTATAATGCACCCAAGTCAACAGGTGCGGTTTGTAGGGCTCATTTTAGAATTACCACTGGCTCTTGGCATGGCTGAATTCCCAGAGTTGTGTTTTCTATGGTATCTCTAGTGAAGTCTGAAGGAGCCAGATGACTTCTCAGGCCCTATAAAGGCATTTTTTATGGAGACTTGGAGGGTATTTATGTGCTGCGTGCCCCCCCACAGCCTGTTAAAAGAAAGAATTTAGTACAGGTTTCCATTCTTATCTTAATACTCACATTTGTTTTGCAGATCACCTTTAAAAAGGCTGTAAATGTACTATAGGGCTCAATTCCCGGTATGAACCTAAACCTTGCAGCAGGTTTCATGACATCGGCTGTTACGTACAGAGCTGTGTATTAACTCTGCAGGGCAGACGTTTGTTTTACAAGTCCCTGAAGCCTCAGGAGAAGTCATTCCTCACAAAAGAGAGCTGGTATTGAAATGCAGCATGGGTCAAATCCTTCTTGGTATAAATGAGTGTCTGTCCCCTGTTGTTTTAAAACCAACTAGACAAAGCTTGGAGCACTGCTTTAATCCCGTTGGACTGGGTCAGATTTTCACTGCTGAGTCCTGTACTATCAGTGTAATGGTATTCAGAGGACTACTGTGCTCCCCTAGACTAACACAGAGTGCTTTACGTGCGCAGGCTGAGTATCAATTGTACATTTCTTACCTCTAAACCCATTTCCATTGCCACTAGAGCAGGCTGGAGAAGGAGACCCTTGGGGTCTGATGACAGGAGCAAAGGCACTCTTCTGTTTGACAGCAGGAAAGACGGAGGAGGAGAACGGAAGGATGGAAGAAGTGCTGGAGGAGCCAACTGTTGGACTTGAAGACATTACTGCAAAAGAAAAAAGTGAATCCTCATCAGAAATGCAATTATAGAAGTTTGGTAAAACTGCTTAAAATGCCTACCTTCTGATTACTCATTCTACTTCTTAAAGATCTCATTCTCACCTCGGCTTGACTGGTTACTCTAAAGTAGAGAGGCAGTTAGAAAAGAGAGGTCGTTCTTCTTTCAAAATGAAGGGGTGAGGATACCAGAAAATGGTAAGTCATCAAGGGAGAGAGTCAATATGAACTAACACAGTAGGCAGTGATGGCCTGTCCACTTACAGTCCATGCTCTGGAAGTTGGGAAGGCAGAGAATTTAGGGGGGAGAGTTTAAGCTGTTACTTAGATTTTAATCTAAATTGGCTTCTTTTTAAAGAAGTACCCTGCAAAAACAAGTCCCATTATATATCCAATAGTTTGTTCAGCAATTTGTTTGCTTACCTTCCACGAAAAACAGCAGCTATTTGTCAGCAGAACAAGGAACAAATAACCGTATTTCACGTGGGTTCAAGTGAATCGCCAAATCTCATAGAGGTATTAGTTTGAAGTCAGAATAACAATACACTGCCGACCCGGTCCTCTCCTTATTGAAGTCAATGGCAAAGCTCCAGAAAAGGGGAAGTATCAAGAGTACCTGCACATCCTTTGAGTTCCATCTTAGCCTTAAATTACAACTCAGATTGATGGGATATTGTTTTGCTGATTTCAGACCAGCAAGAAGCCTTCATCATCACTGCAAAGTGGGTCAGTCCTTATGCAGATGATGTGAATGTAAATAAAACAGTATTTTGCAGGCTACCAGGTGTTTTGATCCTGACATCACTGAGAGCTATACCCTCCGTAAGCTACAGTGCAGGTAAAGAAATAAGGAGTCAGTAAGTAAACAGCTGTTTAACTGTTCCTCCACTCATATATCTATGTATTACACATACACACTTTTGCCAGAAGGAATCAAGGCATGAAAGGAAGAGTGACTTGTTCATGGTAAAACTAGTAACAAGAAACGCAATAATACCAACTTCCAGAACTTAGCTACATTGTTGTTATATTTCTGGTTATCAAGGTAATATAGTTTTGCAGGAAATTAATCCACAATTAAGCTCTTAGAGATTGTTAATGTAGTTCATACACATAAAAATTCTTTCAGAGTGTCTTTGACATAAGATTCAGAGTAGTCTCTATGCTAAAAGTAATGGCTACTTGCTTAAATCATGTAAAGTTGCAAATTGTACCTCATTTCTCTCTGTGGCCTTTGCTACTTAGGAATCTGTGTAAAGATAAAAAAAAATGAAGGAAAAACCAAGTAAGATTCACTATTCTTCTATTCTTCTTGAAAAAGGGGTACATTTTATAGATCATACTAAATAAAGACCACAGATCAGAACCTTTTGCAAGAATCAAATATAAACCCAGGAAAGCACATACAGCCATAGGGGGATCCTGTTGGAGAGCCGTTAATGAATCCAGGGGAGCCTGGAACGCCCAGGTTTGACATGGGGACGTTGCTGTAGCCATTCATGCTATTGCTGGAAGTGCTGTAATTGGACTGCTGAGGCGTGGAACTGGATGAGTAACCCCGGGGTGAGATGCTGCTTGTATTACGAATATAACCTAAAAAAAAAGGCAAACCACACTTCAAAGAATGTCAATGGATTTGGCTTAAAACTTTCTCCTGTACATTCCCTGCTTAATAAATTTCTTAAATAAATTGTTATTTAAATCCAGAGTAATTAAAACAGTTAAGCGAGAACCAATAAATTCAGTGGGTTTTATGCATATGCTTTCAAGTTAAGCAATATTAAGTTTTGAACCAATGTGGGAAACTAACATTTTAAGTGAACTGATGTATATTTTTCTAATTAGATTTGATTTGTTAAAAGTTGAAATTTGTTCTCAGAGCTGGAAAACACTGTGTGTGCTTATCTTTTCTGAGGTAGAATTTAATATATGTGGGATTTTCTACAATTTTAGGGGAGGAGAAGTTATACTTTTCAAATTATTGATGAATTACAAATAAAGCAATTGCATTGTTAAAGGGAAATTTTAACCCATATACAGTTTGCGACTTGACTTTGAAGATACTCTACTTGGAGGAAAGAATAAACCGGGTACATAAAAACCATTTTTTTGTCCTAAAAAAAAATAATCACAAATATTTGAGAATCAAAAGTTATCCTCCTTTTTTCTCCAAAAAGAGACTTGTAGAACACCATAGCTAGCAGCATTAAACTACAAGGCTCTTATTACAGCTGCAAAAGGTTTTTCCATAGAAAAGCTTTCATTAGAAAGTGATCCAATAACTACTTTAAAAGTGGTTACCATTTAGATAACTAGTCAGGTTAGTTCTACCCATTTATATTATGAAGTTCTAATTCAGTGCTGGCAAGACCTTATTTTAAAATCTAGCAAAATTATCTATATGATGACTTTGAACATGGCATATGTAATATTAACTTCATATGACATGGTTTTACTGCCTTAGAGGGTTAAACACAGCATTCATGCAGTTGGCCACATACTGTACATTACTGGAATCGAGTGTTAAAAATCAAAAGATCCAAGAGTCAGAAAATACTCAAAGCGGATATTGCTCCCATGATGTATTACCGTTAATACATAATTTTATGGCATGTTTTCCCAACAATCAATAATATATCTGGAGTGAATGTAATACATACAACATATACAAGTTGGTAAAATTAACACTGAAGAAGCAGCCTTAAAAAAAAAAGAAAATTCCCCACCTCTAACTGTGAGAGGTTTTTTTTCAATTGCTGTTCTTGTCTTTTATGCAAACAGAGATGTAATAGAGAAGTATTAAAAAAAAAAAAAAAAAAAAAGATATTGAGGGGAGCAGAAGGAGAATTCAGGGTTAAGCTGGTATCAAAAAATAAAAGTTATTTCAGCCCTAGCTAATGTGGTGCCTGGAACCTGGTGCAGACGTGGTGTCACCCACAATGGCAGCACCCATCCGTTCTCACGCGGAGGGTTTAGAGCCGTCTTTCCACTCATGAGCTGAGCAGGTGAAGAAGTTGATAAACTACTCTGGAAGCAACTGTGATTCAAATTGTCGTTGTTTACATAAACACGATCTTACCTTGGTTGTTCCCCTGTGTTGACTCTGAAATGCTGACTCCTAACTGGCTACCATAGGAGTTAATTCCCATCATACTGCTGTGAGCAGGAGAGCTAGAGAGCGCAGGGATCTGTGCGGGATTCCTTGGTACGCTGTAGAGAGCCTCGGCGATGTCTGCAGCTCGCTTCAGAATGATGTCCTGCAGAGCCAAAGGGACAAGTTCAGGAGCGTGCTTGGAGAAATTTTCTAGTGTTTATTACTAAACCTGAACATATTCCACTCCCCTCTTGAGAGCAGTCGTTCTGACCTGGTTGTTATGTGGCGTTCCATACAGTGCTTCAACTAGGTCAGCAGCTCGTTTCAACAGCATTTCCTGGAGGATGAGCAGATGCATAAAATTGACATTTTAACAGAAAAGGATTTTACTGCAAATAAAACCTTGGGCTAGTATTTCCTACCCTGACCAGCATGTGGTTGTTCGGAAAACTGGGTGCCTTAAAGAGCTGTTATCTGCCACCTAGCTGAAACAATGAACCCCTTACGGCACCTCAAGCTCGGCATCGACCGTCAGCAGTCGCTCGGGCAGGCGGCACGGGGCGGGCACTGGCTGGGTGCTGGGTGCCCAGCACCCGTGTGCCCAGCACCCACAGCACCCACAGCACCCGCCGTGTGCCCAGCGCCCATGTGCCCAGCACCCACAGCACTCACCGTGTGCCCAGCACCCGTGTGCCCAGAACCCACAGCACCCGCCGTGTGCCCAGCACCCACAGCACCTGCCGTGTGCCCAGCACCCGTGTGCCCAGCACCCACAGCACCCACCATGTACCCAGCACCCACAGCACCCGCCGTGTGCCCAGCACCCACAGCACCCGCCGTGTGCCCAGCGCCTGTGTGCCCAGCACCACAGCACTCACCGTGTGCCCAGCACCCACAGCACTCACCGTGTGCCCAGCACCCGTGTGCCCAGCACCCACAGCACCTGCCGTGTGCCCAGCACCCGTGTGCCCAGCACCCACAGCACCTGCCGTGTGCCCAGCACCCGTGTGCCCAGCACCCACAGCACCCACCATGTACCCAGCACCCACAGCACCCGCCGTGTGCCCAGCACCCACAGCACCCGCCGTGTGCCCAGCGCCCATGTGCCCAGCACCCACAGCACTCACCGTGTGCCCAGCACCCACAGCACCCACCGTGTGCCCAGCACCCGTGTGCCCAGCACCCACAGCACCTGCCGTGTGCCCAGCACCCACAGCACCCGCCGTGTGCCCAGCATCCACAGCACCCACCATGTGCCCAGCACCCACAGCACCCGCCGTGTGCCCAGCACCCGTGTGCCCAGCACCCACAGCACCCGCCGTGTGCCCAGCACCCACAGCACCCACCATGTGCCCAGCACCCACAGCACCCGCCGTGTGCCCAGCACCCACAGCACCCGCCGTGTGCCCAGCACCCGTGTGCCCAGCACCCACAGCACTCGCCGTGTGCCCAGCACCCGTGTGCCCAGCACCCACAGCACCCGCCGTGTGCCCAGCACCCGCCATGTGCCCAGCACCCACAGCACCCGCCGTGTGCCCAGCGCCCGCTCCGGCCCGGAGCTCTCCAGAGTCCTGAAGCTGCGCTGGGCACGCCGGCCCCAACCCCAGAGACGACTTGCAGACGTAGCCAATTTCAATAGGAACATCAGTCCCTACTGAATTTCAGTATAGCCTTTTGTGTACAGACACATAAAAATCTGATTAATCTCCACGTCCATTTATTTCTCAATAATGTTAACCAAACAAATAAAACACTTTAGCTAGTAGGTATCTTACGTTACCTCTGGTTGCAGGAACAAAAATGCACAGTACACTGAATACAATAGTCTTTCATCGTGCAAAGATGATAATATATACTTTTGGTACTGCAATAAAATCTAGGAATATACTCATTAATGGCACTCCCATTGTGCCAGGTGCTGCATCAACACAGTGTGCAGTGTTACAGACATAAAATCCTGAGTTGTTTCAACACATGCATACTGCAGTTGTTGCTACAGAAAAAGTTGATCTTTAAGTGTTTTTACTAAAATATTCCCTTAAGGTTAGACCTCTGCAATAAATCCTTTATGTCTATCATGTATTATTTAGGTTCCGACATTTGCCAATCTGGATAAATGCAAGGGTCCATGAATGTGAACTGGGAAGATGTCAGCATTGGACTCTCATTTTAGCAGCAAAACAAATTCACAGACAGTTTCTGAGCTCTAATAGGTAAAAATTACTGGTAGCTGTGAGTTCTATGTGATCACATTCTTGTTTGGACCTACAACTAATTGGGGAACTTATGTCCAGATGTAACTGTCATTTAAGATGCAATTTTGTCTCTTTTATGAGTTAGAAGTGAAAGAACATATTTAGCGTGCTCAGTGAAATGCTTAAAAGTATTTTACCTTAGCTAGTCGTTCAGGGTCACCAGGATGTCTTGGAATGACCTTCTGCAGTCTTTGGAAACCATAATCTATGGTAGGTTCATTTAAAGCTGAAAGAAAAACAGAAAAAAAGCCGCCATATTATATGAGTGTGTATGTATATATTTCTCTGTATGACTCTAAGGTTTGTTACCTAAGAAAGCTGCATTTCACAGCTTCTCCACAGAAAACCTCTCCTTGCTGGGGCTCCTAGGTGTGCACTGCTGACTGCTCAGGCGAGCCCTGATCACCGTGTGTAAGACAGGCTGAAGAGTAAGCTAAGCTTTACAGGACCTTCTGCACAAGGATCCCTAATCTCTTTTCAAAGATAATACTGACCCTACTGCTAAGAAAGCTGGGACATGCAAGCTGTTAATGTTGGACTGGGTTGTACAGACCAGGTCCCCCAACTCCACCCATTTAATTGTACAGACATTTCTGCCTTTAGCTGTATAATGAACTGCGTGGTGCTCCTGCACAGTCCCTCAGCGTGCCTGTGATTTGGTAAAGAATTAGTGATACCTTTCTGCTTACAGCTAAGCCTTGAAAGAATTCTGTGCGTTCACGTGTATATACACACATGGACACGCACCCTACACCTCATTCTGGTGGGCACAGCTGAACTGAATTTACATGCTCGTTATCTGTCAGTATTCCAGAAAATACATTCAGAGGCAGGTATGTTGAAGCAAATGACAAAATTTATGTGAACGCTGCATGCTATTTGCAAAACTTCTTACTGAAAGTATTGCAAAGGGTCACACTTGTGGGTTTGGCTTAATAAGAGAACCAAAAACTCACGACTTTTGCACTTAAAACTGCTTCCGTTTCCAACACTGATTTCTCACCATCTATCAAAGGCTGAGTGAATAATTTCAAAGATACAGCAGGGAAGCACTGTCACAAAATACTCCTTTTAAGGATGAATGTATTTACTCTGGACAAAAGTGACCATGGCAGGAATATAGCAAGTTATGGTACAAATGCAAATTAGACCGGGTGGTCTTCTACGTCTGTTACACAGTCAGAAATCGAGAGTCCTGTATCTGGTCATCTAATAAACATAATAAACACACCACACACACCCCACAACATTTTGCCATCACAAACTAGGGCACAGCTATTCATTAGACACATTAACTTCTCCAGTGGTGTGTGGCTATTATGCATACACAGCCGCTTCACTGTAATGATGTTAATCTCTAGTGGATAAACCAAGATATTTTGACCCAGATCCTTGGTTAGTAATAGCTGGTAGAGCCCTACTGGCATCATTGATGATTTCATAAAACTCCAGACACTTTAATACTCTCTACTATGAAATCGTGGCAATAATAATCTAATTGCTGATTATTCAAAATTAAACTCCAATTCTAGTTAATACAGAAACCAAAAGTCAGTTCTGTAGCATTCTGCATACTCATGGGCTTTGACTGCCTCTGATACATTAGGATTACCAGTGTTTACTAATACAGTCACAGGTACGTTTATTTAGAATTTCCTCATACTTCAGGACGTGCATTATAATTCAAACAACACATTCACGCTGAGAATCTTGCTAAGAATTCCATGACGCATTTAATAAGTAACATATGTAAGTCCTTTAGCGCTGTTCTAATTTCAGTGCTAGCTTCTCCTATCCTCTTGTACTATTTGTGATTCTTTTGGAAAAAAAAAAATATATTTTTTTAAAATAACTGGTGACATCAGCACAGCTGAAAACACCTGATTGCAGGAGATGCTGCTGGCACTTACTGAATTCCAAAATATACTCAGCACCTTACAGGATAACCATCTCAGACACCAGGAGAATGAAACTATCAAGTGAGACAGACTATTATACTGATCCAGATTCACTGTTTATCTGTGTCTGTCTTTGGTATAACAACATGAAGGTAAAAGGTCATATTCCCCACTGAGATACGTTTTATATTTACTTTTTATTAAATAATTATGGCATGGCATGAAGTTTAAATATTACAGGAGATAATCAAGTGGGAATTGAATAGAGAAAACCCAGACCTGAGAATTTAGTCTTGGCTATACTTAGAATGTCTTTGCTCTCCACTGGGAGCCATTCTGGTTTGCTTAAGGAGTTTAATAATACACATTTCAACTGCCACAGAATCTACATCCCATTTGGGGAGCAGGGTTTTTTTTGGGGGGGTGGGGGTGGTTTTTTTTTGCCAATAATCCTGAGAATTATAGGCCAATTCTCTCAAGAGCCTATACATCATTATGTGCCATTTCTCTTCTTGATTACAAGTCTAATCAGTTAAGTTATATATATTAAGCTAAGCAAAAGCAATGTAAAATATATAGGAATTTAAACATATATGTATACATAGTTCACTAAAAATAGCTAATGGGAATATACAAAATGCTAATTCGGGAGGAAGAAATTGGCAGTTATTCAACAAACATTTTTCCAGTGGATTGACATGGACATTTTCATTCTGATAGACAAATAGCGGCAAATAATTTCTCAACAATGTTGAATTGTTCTAAGAACTCAGCCATTTTGAATCAATGTATGTATTATGTCTTTCAGCACAAAAGGTTTTCTGTACAGCTTGCAACAAAATTTCCTGCTACTAGTTTTACTCATTAATGAAACAAAAAGATCTGTCATGAAATCCTGTTAAAAATGAACATCCAACATTTGTAGATGTAAATGGTACCTTTACAACTGAAGGTCTAGATGTAGAATCCACCAGCAAGTTTAAAGAGCTTCACCACAATACCACTTCCACTGAGAAAAAGAGCTACTGGAGCAGTAGTGATTTATCTATGTGTTACATAGAAATATGCCAGAATTCTATCCAAATGCTTTTCGGTTCATGAATTCAGAGACCATAAAGGGGTCTGACACAGAAGCAGGCGGCTCATTATTTCCTACAAATCATGTATCTGAAGTGAAACCCCCAAGAAAACTGATTCAGGTACAGCAAAATCCCTTTGGCAACTCTCAAATCCAGTGTTTCAGGCACAAGGGGTCTCCTGAATTTCCCAGAGCATAGTTTAAAAAATTGTGCATGACGTGATGAGAACGTATGCAAAAAAAGAGCAACCATTTAGTGAATAAACTAAATTGTTGGTTAGTCTAAAAACCTCACTCTAGCATAACTGTTTTAACAACAGGATTGTTACAGTCAGCAGCAGGGAGAGGTCTAACTGCCCCACAGCCTGCCTGCCTTTATTTATGGCAAGGCTCGAATAGAGTATGGCCCAGTTCTTCCTCTTTTAAATTGTTCCTTACCCTCCAAAATCCACAATTTAATTTTAAATACAACTGTCCAGCTATTGAGAATCACAGAGATAGAAGAAAAAAAAAAAAAAAATTCTCACACTTGAGACACGGTGCCATGACATCTGCAAAACGTGAAACAGCAGCTCAGTCCCATTCATCTCAATGGGGACCGACTCAGCCGGTGATAACAGTGCTGACATTTAAAGTATTCATTATTTCACCACACATCAAAGCACCTATGCCTGTTGAAAGAAGATGATGTTATGGAGATCTGCACGATTTACCAAGAGTGACGGCTCACCCTGATACTGCCAGTGTACGCCCTGGGAAATGTGCACTCTCCCTCTCCGCCAGTCGAAAAAGGGCCACGTTCAGGGACCTTGGCAAAGTTCTGCAGCTCATCTTTGCTTTACTCCAAAGGGCAGCAAGTCCTCTGTTTGTAAAGTATGAATGAGAAGAAACAAAGTATGCCCACCTCTAGAAACATCCTGAACCCAGAAAAGTGAGCCAGAGGGAGTGTAGTATTTCCAGCATGATGCATAACCTTCTTAAAGACATTAACATACAGAAGAAGGCACCAGTGGCCTTAAAGGCTTGAATTCAAACTTTGCACTACTGACTACCTTCACTCAAGCCAACAGCAAAGCGATGCTTGGTATTCACCCTACAGAGTAAAACATTTCCATGTTGCTGCCCTACAGAAGCTCACTTGCTACGATCATGCGAATCCCGGTATGTACATACTGGTCAGCCTGCTCCAAGGGGCAGGCTGTGGTCTGGAGTTGGCAGGGTGGTGCTAGAAGCGTTCTGCCAGTGGTCCTGTGTTCTGTTTGCTGCGTTGGGAACGGCTGTTCCAAACACCCCACACCAACACGGCTGCCTCCTATTGCAGGTGTCTTTGGCGGGCTGAAGCACAGGCGGGAGCTGTTCTCTGCAAAAGCTTTCTGCCACACCGCTTGTGTTCTGGCCAAGTGAACTCGCTCTTCTAATTTGTAGAGCTCACTGCATCCTTGTACGTGTTGTTTCCCACAAGCAGATAACAAGACTTTCTCAAATCTACTTACAAGCTTTAGCAAACCAGTACCCTCCTATCCTTGGTACGTGGCAGAGAGACTGATACAGTACAACGCAGGAGTCCAACATATCCTACAGATTATTTTATATTGCATTGCACTGACAAGTTAACCCCTGGAGGATTTCTGCTCAGAGAGGAAAATTATGTTCAAAATCTCCCTGATATACACATTTCCAGGTTAGCATCTCTATGACAAAGTAAATGCAGAGCTGTGATCAAACTTAAGATATGAAAGCCTACAAGACAGATCCTCAGCTGGCGTAAACTGATGTAAGTGATATTAAAGCCAAGAGAACTATAATGGAACTACTTACAGCGCCAGAGAATTTGAATTTGTGTAGTATTAAAAGCGGAATATGAGGCTACTGCTAGATTAGCAGCAGAGAACAAATGTCTTATTATTGTAGGACCAGCCGATGAAAGAAAAGCAATTCAGAATATGGAGAAATCTTTGCAACCCGTATTCTCACCAGATTAAGGTACACATGGGGACTAAATGTTTAGTTGTAGTGATTTAAAAATAGACTCTTTATCTCTCACTTTAAGTATATACTTAACTACTAAAGTACGTAAATTGGTTCAGCAACTGCCATTAACATATAACAAGCCATTTCTCTAGATTTTTGCTATACTCTGTAGTACACTGTTAGATGTCCATAGAATCCTCTTGGCTTCGCTCTTACAAAAGTTTTCCATCTGGGAACCTTATGGAAAAGTCCACACATCACATTTCGGCGATGAGAGGAATTTGATGGCTGAGTTGCAGCACCCTGAATGATAGCACTTAAGAGCAGAAACGCTGACAGACCCATAACTACAGCAATGCTAGCACAGCACACTTCGCAAGGAGCCTATTATAAATACACATTACAGGACGCATATGAGCTCCCATAACAGCTCCACTGTGGCATTTAGATTTACCCTTGAAATTTATATCTAATTTTTATATTCGTCTTTTCAACAGTTTATCATTTTCTTCTTCAAACAACCTGTCTTATTGTGACTCTTGTAAAAAAAATTTAAAAAGATCAAGTTTAATCAGGTCAAAAATTAATATTTGATTGTATATGAAATATTGAGGGCATAGGCAGATACACCCAACACTAAGATCACTGGTTTCCTGTTTCCATGTTTTAGCAGAGTATTGGTGTTCTGGTGAATAAAGGATATGACTAGAGCCCACGAGATCTATTTCCCTGCCTACCTCCAGCTTTCCTCTGTCACCACAGGCAAGTGGTGACTTTCTTCACCACTTCTCCACCATCTTTCTTCATCCTGCCGCGGCAGTGTCTCATGTATAAAATGGAAGCGTGTGTCTTTCTGTAACTGGTTGCCCGTGCCTGACGCAGTGAGGCCCTGATGAACCCTCTGAGCTCTGGTTTTATATGAATAATTATTCTTGTTATAGCTGTGAAGTACCTATCGCCAGCTACTCGGTATTTTTCACATGACTTGACCCTTCGCGCTTTTCATGTGAGGTTATATCTCAGTACTTAATAATTATGAAGGGCTTAATACAACATGACCCTGATAGCACCAGGGCTGCTAGTTGTTGTTGCTCTTACTAGTTCTGACAGAACTACATCTTCCCATGCTTTTAGTTTTCAGGTTTTCACGCTTTTCAGTCTCCTGGGCTTGATAGTAATGTCTCTACATTTCTTAGGTTTTTGCCAAGTGCAAGCTGAAAGTAAAGGGAAGGTTAGAGGAGAAATTCTCATTTATAGAGGCAACTACAATTCAAGAGGGAAGCGGTCTTATTTATGTCTAAGCCTACTGCATTCTCTGAAAGGTTATCTACAAACTTTGTGACAGCTCAGAGGAATATATTGCAATATAAAGTACTACAAGTCTCAAGAAAATAATCAATTATTATGAAAATAATAAACTTCAATTATTATGAAAAAAACCAACAGATTTTCATTAAGATGCACAAGACTACCCTACCAATAATTATAAAATCTATTCAAATTTCTCTTCAGTAGTTCATATGATATTTGACTGCTACGCTCTAGACAACAAATAGCCGCGCTTCTTTGCAGCTACTAAGTACATTTTACAGAGCGCTGTGGACACACACATGCATTCTGTGGGAAGTGGCATTTGATCTGGTTTTCTGAGGCTGTTTTCTGGTAGCTTCTCTGCGGTCTAATAACATGGTTGAGCTCTTCACCCTTTCTTTCAGTGGAGGATTCATTTAGATCTTTCCGATCACTTTCCATTTCCACAAAACTGCTGGAACTGCGCATCTTCAATGCTCTTACCTTTCTGTTAAAATCTGATAGAAATTGCTCAAGAGGTTCAAAAGCTGTTGTGAAAGTTCTGAAGACAACTTACAGGCAGAAGGACCTTGGCTGCCCGAGTATGACTTGCCTAGATTAAAAATCAGTGCATTTGTTCACAGCAGTTTTCTGATAGCACTGCCGCAGAAAGAAAAAAAAAAAATGCCACCGTGTTATTTTCATAGCTTAGAAGTTGTTTTTACTGCTATTAGCAGCAACAACCTGGGGGAATTGATTACACAGGTGAGCCTCCACCTAATAGTTATGTTTATCATTTTGCCTGCCATGGTGGGAGAACTGCAGGTTCTTGAATAGACAGATTGAAAAGTTGTCTGTTCTACCCTTGCTCTAACAGCTCGGCATCTTCTGTGAAATGCTGTTTTGTAACATATGGCAGTAAGCACCCACTCACTCCTCAGAGAATGCTAACAGATATCCCTATGCCAATAACAGCAGTAGGACAGGGATAGTATATTTAACTTTCTTCTCTTCTGCTGGCTCCTACATACATCTTCATGTCCTTTTTTGTGGAAGCACTCTAATTAACATGTCAAAGAACTGCACTGCGGTCTGACTCAAGTCCCCCCTAGATGGTACAAGGAAGCCTTGCACTTAAAACAGTTTTACAATAGTAAGATGACTTTTCTTCATAGAGGAATACACATTTCTATTACACATCTCCCTGTCAGTCCGTTCCTAACCCTCATTCAGCACAGGTACCAACAGCACACAGATGGTGGCCCTCAGTAATACTTGTCTTGAAGCCGCTGGGAGAGCAAGGCCACCAGAAGCAGAAAATGGCAAAGAAGAACCTGTAATAATAATTAAATAATTATCAGTCTCTCTTCCCCGGAAGGTGAGCGCGCCAGGCCGAGTGCAGCCGGCCCAAGCCCCGTGCCGCACAGGAATCGGCAACACCGCTCCCGTGCCGGGGAAGTGCCCGACGCCGCTCAGGTAACCTGTCCCGTCTCCTTACAAACACGACCGGGTTTGCACGCGGATTTGAATCTTTAACCTCTTTGATGGCTTTGCCAGCTCTCTCTCAGGAAAAGGAGATAGGTTTAACCTGCTCAGGCACCAGATTCGTCTTTTCCCAGAGAGCAGTGAATGAATGCACTGCCTTAGAAGAAAATGTATTTCAAAAGCTTTTGGCCAGATCCTGATCTCACAGGTCCAGGAATAATTCCAGAAGGAATTTGCATTGCGCTGGGGTTATTTTGGTGCAAAATCAGAAGAAAGTCCTAATCTCTTTGAGGTTGAATCAAAGTCTGATGTGGTCAATGGGTATCATTTCAGTATCTTCAGTTAATCATGGATCAGACCTCTATCATAACAAAAATAATCCTTTTTTAGTTAAGCTTGTATAGTATCTAGTAGAACTGAAGACTTAATTCTCGCTGCAGGTTTCTAGGTGTGGCAGTTGTATGAATAAATACCTTTCCACATATAACTAAACACTAATTTAGCATAAAGGGTATATAAAATGCCCTAAGACGGTAACAGGTTCCTCACAAATCATTGGTTCTTTCTAAAGTCCCAAAGTGTCAGATTTTAATTAAATTTTTTCTACTTTTGTAAAAATTCTAATTCACTCAACAGGTAGTTCAGCTTTTACTTTAAATTTTTTAATAAAAAAATTCTTGGATCTTCATTATTATTTTTGAGTTAAATTATGTTTTAAAATTTGATTATTATAATATGTAAAGATTATTCAATGAGGACTGTTGGTGGTAAGAGGCTTAAGAAAAATTAAGCAAATCCTTTCATTTTGAGAAATCTGGATATGATTTGATGGGAGCAAATCATTCAACAAATATAAATCCACCCTTTTGAACTTGGCACACTGTTATTCTCCAGCCATGCTTAATAGGCTTCAGAAACATTAGGGTATACAGTATATGACGTCACTGTTACTACTGGTACTGAAAGTTCAATGAGATGGTCATCTGATCCCATCTGATTTTTTTCTTTCAGATCTATAGGTAATGTTCTCCTGCTAGCAGAGGTGAATATAGGGCACTAAATAAGTTGATAATACATTTAAGAATAAAAAAAAACACCAACAGATTTATTTTCCACTCAGCTCATTGGCTTCTCTTGATACAAGATGCTCTCCCTGTCCTCTGGGATTATCTTGAAAATGAAAGGTTACCCCCAGCGAGAGGGAAATGTAAAATAAATACTGTTATAAATAAAACATCTTCCAGTATGTAGAACAATGCTATCGTGTTCCTGTACACTCAATGTATCTATAGGCAGACCCATATTGTAACAGCATGAGCTCTAATCTGGAAAAAATATTAACATGTGTAGTAACAGTGCCTTAACACCTCTGCATAACAATGAAGCTATCTCCTTACATGTCCAAATGTCACAACTAGCCGAGTGGCCTTCAAACAGCAAGAGGCTAGATAAATAAAGCAAGCAAGCAAGCAGAGAGTTGTCAATACTGATTACCAAAACAAAGAGGCTCTGAGCTTGAGCTCCTCTAGCGTAAATCGCAATCACCTACCTGTGTAAATAAACCTGCCCGGTGCACCTTTGCAAAACTGTTTGGATTTGTATGATAATGTCACTTCAACCACTCCGGGAATGTGACGTGGAGGTGTCTGAACTCGAATGGCATGAGGCGTGATAAGCTAGGAAATAACAAAAGGAGAGGCATGATGATGGCATGTCTGTGTTATTCCGCCCACTTTCACTTTTCACCCTTTGTGAGTAAATGCATTGCTTATTCCTATACAGGAAACATCAGATCAGGCAAGTGATACATCTGGTCTAGTTTCTTGCCTAGGATACATTCTAGGACAGTCATCAGGAAAATGGCACTGCTTGTGCCCATTGGTTAATTGCTGGCTTGTATCTGGACCCAGAGGGAATTCTTTCTCCTTCCCAAATTGTAACCCTTTATTTTTTTACCTTTACCTGTCTCCATATGCCTGTTACTGAGCAGCTGGCCTCCGTACCACCACATAGCAAGAAGTTCCACAGAGAAAACATGCTCCATGAATTTCCTTCACAGAGGTTTACATGGCCCGCCTTACACGCCACCAGTTTTGTATCATTATTGGAATAGGAATTAACACTGCTGCCCTTCCACTTTCCTCTGAAAAGGAACGTTTCTTCAGTTTCACAACAGGGAGGCACCTCTACCTACCTCACTCCATACAAGCATGGTTCCAAATACAACTTGCAGCCCATCAAAGAAGTTGTCTCCAATAATGATCACCATTGCTCCCCCTGTAGTCCAACCTTCACTTGGGCTGATTGCTTTGATGCACGGCGTGGCTGACCAAAACAAAAAGGACATCAGAGCATCAGGTTATGGTTTCTTTTTCCCCACGTGGCGTTGAGACTGTTTGTAATACTGGGTGTAAACCCTTGCAGCCAATGGGTGTGAGCAGCTTCTGTGCACATGAAGCAGTGCTGGGTCATGGTGATGCAAACTGTAGCGTAGAGCAGCTTCACCTGTCCGCTCCCCAGCTGGCATGAATTCCCTAGTGCTGACAAAGGCCTGGGACAAGTCCCCTCCAGCCATTCACCCATGAAGGCTGCTTTACCATTCCATGAAGCCAAATAAATAAATAAATAAATAAATAAATAAATAAATAAATAAATAAATAAATAAATAAATAAATAAATAAATAAATAAATAAATAAAAGCATGTTTTCTGTCTTGCTAGTGTTAATTACTTGCCTATTCATTACTGGCACTTAACATCATGTCATTAAAGCCTAATAGGCCAACTGTAGTGGGTGTAAAAGTGAAACGCTTAAATGATTGTGCAGAGGCTGTTTAAAAAAAACCCCACTCATTAGCATATGACCACACAAAGCTAAAGCCCGTGGAAAGAGAGGTAGATTACGATTTATTAAGTTTATCAATGGGTAAAGAAGATACGGGAATATCAAATGTTTCCTTCAACTCCTATCAGGAGACAATTTCTAATAATTTTCTTGATTTTATAGAGCAGATTTTTTTTTTTTTTTTTTCTTCTCTCTTCCATATGTTCAAGGCCTCTGGACCATACATCCCATCAGGAACCCAATATGGTTTCCAGGCCATAACCAAAGTCAATCCATCACTCCATTCCCAATGTTGACAGGGTCAGAGGTGGAGGGGAACTTTGGCAGCGCTCCAAAAACATGAGACTCCTTTGAACAGCCAGTCAATCACATCCAATCAGTCAAGGAAAAACTGGATGGCTTCCTAGGCTAGGAATCCTGGGATTTTCCTTCTACCATTTCACTGCCCGCTGGGGGAGAATTAACACCACTCTGAATTCTTTACTGATTCAATCATTTTCTTCCAGTTCATTAATTCTTCTTTTAGGTTGATATAGGGCACAGTTAAGAAGTGGGGCAGCAAAACATTATAATGAAATAATATCCTTGCTTGTCTTTTCTACTAACATCACTAGCTCTTCTCACTTTCACTAGCTGCAGGGGAGGGAAAAGTAGACACAGATAGCATTTTCTAGTAATTTTGAGTACTGTCTGTGTGCGGGAGGCGGAATGTATTGGTAATGAATGTACGGAAAGGGAGAGGAGGGGCCAACCATTTTGAAGCTTAACAGATACAAGTATTTGTAATTGCTTTAACATAGTCCAAAACCCATCCCGTGGCCAGCCATGAGTCTCGCTTAGCCAAACAAACTCAAATCAATTAGTGTCATTTTCCTTCTGTGCCTTGTTATGCTTTGCACTTTGTTTGTGTAAGGGAACTAGTGACGCTTTTTCATACACATCTTGTGCTGTAACAGTTCTGTTTAACGAAGATGTCACGTTGCCTAATTTGCCTGAAATCAAATCTATCCCATCTGAATGAGAAGTCTGAAATTTAGATAATACTTAGTGTTTCTGTGTTTTTAATCTTTGCAGTACAAATTATTTAATAAATGGGGGATAGGGAATCACTCTCTTAGATGTAAAGAGGATCACATTTTGCATGCAGTAGGCACTTTTCCCGCCTCTTCCTTCTCTAAACCCCCTGAGGTTCTGCAGTTGCCCCTTAGCTCTCCTTCCCGCCTGAAAACAAACAGAAAGGGAGGAATAGGTAACATGCTTTTGCCTTCATTTGTGTACTGTTCTTCATACAAATATCCTACCTTCTGAGGGGTCAAGTCTCCTTGCCCTCCGTCCATGCTTGGAGTTGTTGTGAACAAACATGTTGTCAGACACTGCCAGTACATGCCCATCAACATTCACTGTTGTTGACAGCACAACCTAGACAGGTAGAAAGGGAAGAAAAAAGGAGGCAGGTAAACAATTTACTTTGAAATTCAACTTGTTAAGTATTAATTATTCAGTTTAGTTAAAAACCTGTTCTGTTTGTAAAATGGCATCATGTCCTGCAGGATCTACTCCCCAACAAGAAGGGGAAAAAATATTTTCAGCCTTTATTCTACGCATTAATTCCATTTAACATAGCATCCTAAGGGCCATATAAAGTCCTTACTGTATAATGAACCAGCTACTGCAGATGGCCCTAAATTTCGTTTCCTATGACGCACTGCAGCACAGCTGATGGCAGAGGTCTGTATATACCAACCAGGAGGGCAGGCTGCGGAGCACCACAGCAATTTGCCCTCTGATACACACATGCGGATTCAGAGCCATCTGCTGTACTGCGCACACATGCAAATGTATCCGCATCTGCTTCGAAAATACAGGTCTCCATTGACTGAGCAAAATGGCAGCTCCTACTACGTGAAAACAGTACCTAATATCACGGCTGGTTTTTGACATACGTGTGGCTCGGTGCCTCTTGAAAATCATCTGAGCCTGAGGACCCCAAATTGAGCAGCAGTTTTTAAACCTTCGCCTCCATGACTTATGTTGCTGGGCTCCAATAGCATATGAATTCTTAGAAGTAGTAACTGTATGTGTTAATTAATCCCCCTTAGTTTTCCCTTTACAATACAATATCCAAAGCTGTAAATCCTATAAATCCAGAAATATGTGTGCCTTTAATCCCACAAACTTTTAGGAAAAAACAAACAAACTGTGTTTTAACTACTGAAAGAAGATGCATCTGATTGAAACTTTCAGGTTTCGACCATTAATCGGTGTAAATCACTTTAACTCCACTCAGCTGCCACACAGCTACAGTAATTCCCAGCTATTGAGCATCTGACCCTGGATGTGTTCATGAATTTTCACAGATACAGCTGTCATAGTCTAGGTAAGAGAATGTCAAGCTCTAATTGTTGATAAAACTATATTCAGCATATAGCAGGAGAAACCTGGCCCCCCTACAGGATTATGCTAGCTTAAAGAATCCTTTCTTTCTTGAGACAAGTTTAATTCATTCCAAAAGGCTCTTGTCATACTGTACTCTTATACTTCTCAAGCATTCTTGTCACAAAATGTGTTGCTTTTGTGTGCCAACTGATTTCATCATTGCACATTTGGGTGGAGTGAGACTCCTATCCAAAGTGAACATTTCCCGCATGACATAGCTGAACCCACTCAGATGCACTTCATTATTTTCCGTTAAACAATGGAAATAAATTTTAATCTCTCACTGGCCAGCACAGAGCACACTATGGCAACAGGGGAATAGACCTGAATTATTCCAGTGTCTGAAATATTTACGACAAGTGTTTAAATTGTAACCAAATGTAAATAAAAAGTATATCATATATATACAGTTACACTGTATAATATATACATATCTGAACTCACATAGGCAAGGTATGTATGTGATAAACACACACCCACATGCTCTCAGTATGAGATCTTTATAAGATATGCAGACTTCAAGTACACACACGTTCCCTGTTTGAATAACCGTTTGGGTGTAAATGTTGCACACGATACAAGAGCCACACTTCAGTAAGAGTTGTAGAGATCCCTGCAGTATGAGTAATAGTAAGAAACAGTCCTCTGTTTAGAAGACAAGTGCTGAGCATCCTCTATTCCCTGAGCCAGCAGGAATAGAAGATGCACTTTCAGACCTCTCTCCATGAGTGGTTCCATTTTTATTCACCTCTCCCATTCATCACAGGAGGGTCAAAGCCACTTGGTGTTTCACAGGCTGGGACCTACGGTAAATGAATGCAGCATTCTCAGGGACAGGACCAAATGTGAAGTTCAGATCTGGACCAGAATATTCTCAGAGTTTTGGACCTTATTTGCAGAAATCTCTAAGGTACTGCTGAAATTCAGCAGAGACCTCTGTCGCCTTTGCTACAACCCTGCTAGCCAACTCGTTATCGATGATGTGGAGTAAGAACATGTGAGATTATGGACAGAAAAATTACTGAACTTCTTCGCTTTGCTCCAGTCATTCATTATTGCCTGATGAAGATGGCAATCCAATTGTTATATACCGAAGATTAAAAAACAATGTTTTATGGATAAAAGGAAGAGGAATGTGCATTCCACTATGGTCTCTAACTCCCAGGCCCTTCCCTTTCACAAGCCAACTGCTTTCCCCCAGTGAGTATTTCCTGGGTCATGAAGGGTGACCCTTTCCATCTGGAATCAATCAGTCAACTCCTGACAACTTCCTGAAACACCTCACTCCATTTCCTGTTCTCTCCCCCTTCTTTCTTTCCCCCTGGTTTGCTTCACTCTTCAAAACTGCAGGCCACAGCAGCTTAATGTTAGAGGGTCAGACACAGTTAGACTCCAAAACACTACACAAGAACACCTTTGACCTTCAAAAATCTTTACATCTTAGCTAAACAAATCAAGGTCAACGTTTCTTACCATTACCTTGTTAACCATTTCTATGCATTTTTGCCAATACCCTTCTGAACATTTATTTATCAATAACACTTGTTCTCCTAACATCGTAAAATATTCCAGGCCTTTTTTTTTTTTTTTTTTTGAAAACCTGTATTAGTGCTGTTGAAAGGAGATGTGCAAACTTCCCCGGAGATTTAAATTCTCAGATTTGTCCAACAGCACTGGCAAATTAATGGCAAGAGGTTTTGGTGCATTTTTCTTTTCCTGATCTGATGGCATTTCTTCTGTATGATAATTTGGCTTCTGTGCCTATTCAGCTAATGCTCTTTTACCTAAAATCAGTAGTTAATGCAAAACGTAATCCTATGGGAATGACCTGAGAACATCAAAATACGTCAGGTAGGCCACGGATTCTGATAATGGTAGCTGAGGGCCAAATTTGACCCAGACAGCATAAATACTAGAGATATTGTGCTGCCCAGCGGCTGGGTCAACATATCACCTTTGCTTGAGTTTTAGAGGACAATCAAGCAAGCAAAAAAGAGGGCAATGTGTTATTCCTTCATCCATCCAAATGTAGGCTCCATCTCTAGGAACAGCCAGGGAGTTACCGGCTTCTAAGCGGTGTTCGCGGCAGTTCTTAAAATTCTCTCTGCAAATCTGCAAGGGTCTTGTTATTAGCTATGAAGCCACAGACATAAACCAATGATTCCCCAGCAGTACTGAAGAAATGCATGTGCTGTATCTCCACATTATTTTTGTTTCCCAGGTGGATTTCTGTAATGTAATCCCTGCTCACAAACCACAATGAGGGACTGTCTTTAGTATGTTAAACTCAGGTTCTCTGAGCTGCACTGCCCCTTCTTTGCCTCCCCTGCACAGTTCAAAGTGTTGTATTTCTTTACAAACCTTTATCTGGGTACTGCAATTTTTCCTCCCCCATCTATACATTATATTAGTATTTCTATAGTCTAACGTATGCTCCTCTTCAAATCATATATGCAAGTAAATACACATCATCATATATATAAAAGCTGTATCAGTCATAGACACCTATTTAGACATATGGTACAAACATTCCAGGCATACAGGCATTTACTTACATGTAACATATCTCATCACTGTGTAAATGATCTCTCTCAAAAAATTCCTGTTACCATTCCAAGTGTGGAAAAAATTCTTTATGACATTGTACATCTGGAAACAATATTACATTCCTGATGCACTTTCCCTTATAACTCTCTAGTCACAGCACCATGTTATTTTAACTTTTCAAAAGAATAACTACTATGAGGATTTTAAAAATTATCATCATTATTATTATTTTCCAGCTGGGTGGAAGCAAAGATGTCAGGCCTCATCCTGCTGTCTTCACTTGGACAGGGCTCCCATTGATGTCAATAGGCGTTTTGGATGAGCGAGTAATACAGGAGTAGACGCTAGAATATAATGTGTTTGCTTCATAGTTGGATTAGGAATAAGATAAACAATGTGAAAAATGCCACCAGCTCAAAACTTCCATTGAATTCTTTGGGAAATCCTCCTCAAGACCCTGAGTCTGCTGCAAACACTAGGCTAACAGAAAAAAACTATGCACATGGCCTTCATTTCAGGCCTCCTAAGATTATAGGGGCACAGGGGTAGGAGATAACTCCTGGGTCGCTGACACCTGGTCTCCTGCTATTAGAGACAACCAAACCCTGCAGCTACTTTTATAAAATTGTCTTCAACCATTTCAAGCTTTTGCCTTTGGTACTCCTCTTATTTTAAAGCCTGTTTGTCCTGATGGTTAGGAAACTTATGGTTTACAGCCTAAATTTATTCCTAGTCAGTTTATACTTAGCACTAGCTTTAAAATTATTATTTCCCATTCTGACCTACCTTAGGATATTTTTAGACAGCAGTTATGTCCCTTCTCAGGGCAGTACTTGAGCCAAGCTCTCATCCTCTCCCTAGTCACTTAATGACCCATTCTTGCACCTGTTCCAATTTCATGTGCATTCTCTTCTGAATACAGTTAAACCAGTCTATTGTATTCCAAACAAGAAATCACTGGAGTACAATGGTACAAATGCAGCCTTCTACTTGCAAAGCTTACCTGGGGCATAGTAGAATCTCATCTTTACCTGGGGCATAGTAGAATCTCATCTTTACCTGGGACATAGTAGAATCTCATCTGTGGTTCGTTTTTAATAGATGATACACAACTCTGGCAACTCGCTGCCACAATAGCTATTTAGTCTTCAGATCTGAGCACATTAAGCTCCTTGAGTGTTTTTTCTTTTGCAGTTGCAGTCAGTCCTTTCCTTACTCATACAGAATCTAAAATAACACCACCTTTTGTTGGGACAGTCACTGAAGAAATCTGCCACCCACTAATACCTCTATACTCTGCTGATACTACTTGCATTTGTTTCACAATTTATACCTGGGGAATTAGTCTCCCGTAACGACATTAGTCCACGTATTATTCATCTCTCTAACAGAACAGTGATTTCTATCCATATCTAAATCTGACTGTGCAGGTCTCT